TCGGCTCGATCGACTGGACAAAAGGCGTCGACTTTCTGCTCTTCCATAACGAAGGTGTCAAGGGGTCAACCCTCACGGCCGTCAACGTCATTCCTCAAACAAGAAGAAGGGCGTTTGATGGTGGCTATTGACGGAAAATGGGCAGACGTGACAAGGGTCGCCAGGGGGAGCGCCACAGTAGAAGTCCCTCAAGACTTGTCAGAGAAAGAAAAGATGAAGAGAGAGAGGGGGAGAAGTCAAGGCGGTACAAAGTGAAGCTGGGAGGGAGGGAGAGGGTGAGAGAAAGGTGGTCGATGGTGGGGTCGCGGTGGTGACAGAACAGCCTGGCTTGAGGTATGCTTACAGGCAGCGGTTTCGGGGTGGAGGGGCAGGGTCGGAGAGGGGTTGCAGGGTGCTTGGCTCGTAGGTTGTTGTATGGGAGTGAATAGAAGAAGAAAAGGCAGTTCTTGAGGCGGAGAGGAAGGAACACGACTGACTATGTGTCGGAAGGTTGAGAGGAGGCGGTGGTCACGTCAAGGTTCTGGTCCCTCAAGGTGCAGAGTGTCGATGGAGCGAGTGGTGTCGGTGGAGGGGCGTTGGCAGCGGTTCGTGTTCACAGGGTGTTGCGTAAGTGGTGCGGACGTTCAAGTGAAGCGTGTTGCCTATTGCCTGCCTGACGCCGAGGCGACGGGAAGGTGAGGTACCCCTCGATCTAAGGCTGCGCAGCACAGCTCGGTGCGACGCCAACCAGGACAATGTTGACGCCTTGTGCCCAGCACAGAGCCAGCCAGCAGGGCGGAGGGGGCGGAAATGGTACAAGAGGGGCAGCACACCTGACCTGCTGATGCGAGATGGAGAGGTGCCCGAGCCTGTAGGTAGGGCGGGGAAGCACGGGACGAGCGATTAGAAGCTTGTCTGAGCTCTGCCAGGTAGAGTGAGAAGCCCGCCTTTTGATGTCACGCGGTGCCTCTGGTTGGGCTGGCTGGGCTGGGCTGGAGACGGACAGGCGGGAGAGATAAGGTGATTCACGTCGCAGCCATGTCTCTTTGGTCGGACTGTGCAAGGATCCCTCGGAAAGATGGACACGGATGCGGCAAGTGAAGTATGTGGGATGCACAGGTAAGTTGAAGAGACCAGAATGAGGTCGACGGAGAGAGGAAATGCGGGCAGGAAGGCAAAGGAAGCATGGAAATGTTAATGCAGTAGAGTGTGCACGGTTCTGATGGTTGTTGTACCTGAGGTGATGCTTATCGAATCCGAGGTACTTTCCCCGAGGCGTTGTGCACCGTGAGACCTTACTGTTAGGCGCTGCGGCTGCCTCATTCGTGCTCTCCCTCTGTCTTGGCCCGTCTGACGGTCTGGCAGTCTGACATGTTGCTAACAGGAGGGGAAGTCGCATCCCCTGGACTTGGCCTGGTCGAATACCGATGCAGTCAACGCCATGCCTGCCTAATGGCATCATCAAACGCTATCGATAACCAGCTGGCGTTGCCTCGCATGGTGGGGGGGGAGGGGGAGGGGGAGAGGAGGTGTCTGCCTCCTGCTGCCCCACCATCCAGTGTCTGCCTCTGAGCGCGCGATGAGGACTCAATTCGTGCACTTCATGTTGTGTTGTGCAAACGAAGACCATGTGCATCGTTAGGTATCAAGGGCAACGGTTGGTTCGTCCGAGTCCGAGGCCAAACAAGCTTGCACCATAGAGGCTGGATTGGGGTCCTCAGTGCATACCTAAGGGGCAATGACATGCTTCAAGGGACCGCCCGCGTCAGGCGACATCAAGCGGTAAAGCAAATTCCATGCAGCCATGGTCATGAAGTATCGCTCATTACCTAAAGAAGTAGCAAGCAGAATCTACATAAGACAAGAACAGCCAAGTGACAAATTAGTAGCCGGATTGACGGTCCTCTTCCCTCGGACCTCGCCAATCCATTCCTCCCAACGCCTTGTCCACAGCTGGTGAAACACACTACACTGTTGCTAGAACAGCGACGTGCGCTGCCCGCTCGCGAGCAGTGTCCCGACTACTACCCTCCAAACAAGAATCATGCTCTGTGGGGGGGGGACGATACCAACGCGCTATCTATGACATGCGAAGGAGTTACAGGAAATCCGCAAAAGAAAAGAAAAAGACGAGAAGCAGGGGCAGACCACAGCGAGTGTGACGCGCCCAGTTGTGCCGGCAAAACGAGGCGCCACCCGTGTCCGCGGCTACAGGGGGTATCGTTGCGGAGGAGAAGGAGGGAGCCAAGGAAAGCATCAATGCATCGCAGTCATGGTAGTACAAGCGGCGATCGTCAAGACCGTCGCAATCAGACATGGAAAGGCCTCAGAGGATGGCGTGCTTCTCGAACAGCCTCCGCAACGTGTCGCGGCCGAATGGCTCGTCATCGGGAATCATCTCGATGATGCCTGTCAGGTTGGCGAACATGTCGCCCTGATTCCTGTAGGCGAGAATAGAGGGCACTGCGGCGTTGTCAAACTCAATATCGAGATAGTGCACCTTGACAAAAAGGATGGCCGTATGCTGCCGAACAAGGGGCCGCAGAGGTGATTCAATCGTTTCTGAGACGTCCGACTGGACCTCTGTCAGTATGCGGCTCGAGCACCGAGCCTCGAATGAAACGGATGAGCATACCTCGTGGTCATATACAAAGACGACAACAGTTGTGTCGCGTCCAACCTTCTCGATCGCGTCGAGGTACCCAAGTGCGTCGACCTCGTCCAGTCGCCCGTAAATCCTGACGCTAGGGCTCGTCCTGCGGTTCCTTACGGACTTGCTGGCATCGCTCTCCAGCTCGCGCCGTCGGCTCTCGCGCCACTGTTGTAGAAATGCCTCCTCGTCAGGCGAGTCGCTCGCATGGCTCTCGTCTTCGCTGTCCTGCTGCTGTTGTTTCGGGGTCGGGGCGCTCTGCAGGCTCTCGAGACCGAAGATGGATCGCCTGACGGTGCTCTTTGCGCGCGTGATGAAGGAAGTCTTGCGAGCCTCTTCGTAGTTGCGCGCATCAGCAATGACGCCCTTGACACCGGTGGTTCTGCCAGCGTCGAAGCTTGCCGGGGGCAGCTTGAGGTCGCGATCAGCTGGTTGAATGCGCATGGCGGCGTCGATTTGGGAGGCGCGGTATGAGTCTTCTTCGTCTAATTCGTGACTGTCGCGCGGATTGGTGTCGTCGCGGTCTTCGGGGTGTACACGACTGGTCTCTCTTGCGTTCTTTGCGACAAGGTCGTTGAATTCTTCTTGGGCAGGGGTCAGGTCGGCCATGACGGGCAGGTGGGCACGGGAAGGTGGGGAGGATCTTTAATAGGAGGGGGCCTGTAGGGTGGTGAGGAGCAGAGACTCGTGGCGGATGGTCCGACGCGAGGTAAGGGGCAGGATGGTAAAGCAAGGTGGTGGGAGTCGTCTTGTTTCCAACGCAACAGGACTTGGACAGGATGGCCATGCAAGCGGGGATAAAGGGGAAGGTGGGGGCCGCCATCCGGGCAGAGCGCCGCCGAAGAACTTCTCGAAGCAGTGGAGCCGGCGGTGACCGAGAGTGCAAAGGAGGCAGGGAGGGGCTTCAGGGGCTGTGAGAGAACCCTGCCCCGAGCGCGCGCGGTGCGGCGGTGAGGTCGAGAAAGTTGTTGCAAGCGGCGATCGAAGGCGCGCGGGAGTCAGAAGAGGCGGGGCAAGGATGGCAGCCCCTGCGCTTGCGGTCAGGCTGTTTCAGAATCAAGGCTCTAATCAGCTGGCGACAATGGGATCTCGCTGCTCACTCAGTTTCTCCTCGTCCGTAAACTGTAGATCGTACCTTTGTCCCCTTGGATTTCATGGAGATGCAGGGCGGCCAAGTCGGCCTGGCCAACCCTGCTGGCTCCCTCGGCTTCTCGCCACCGCATTGCCTCTGGGTGGGATAGTTTCATGTGGTCTATTTGGTACCTGGTCTGATCAGGGGGGTGACGTAGAGTACGAATGATGATGAGCTGCCTGACCAGCCAAGCACCAAACATGCGTCCAGCGCACCTCACGATTGTGAGCGAGAACCAGGTGGCCAGGCCGCCGATCTGCAGAGGCTGGGGCATGTGCAGTACTTGGCAGGGCCCCCGGCCACAGCGCGTGGTCCGCTGGGATTAGCGGCCTCCAGTTCCATGTGGTTGCGTCTGGCTTGCTTGCTTGGGACCTCCTACTGGTAATTGCCAAGCTGCCTCCTCGTGGCCTCAATGCCGATTGGTGCTTTCTTTCTTACAGGATGTTCCTGCCTTCGAGAGTGGCCTCGTATTGCGTGAGCATCTTATTCTCTAGCAATGCACGCTGATGTTGCAAGCAGGCTAGTGGCAGCATGGGACACCGATCGAATTGCGCTCAAATCGCCATCCATTGTCGAGTGAGGAAGCCGAATTTCCATATGCTACCTATGTATAGACAACTACCCGGCCATTGCTTGTCAGGCCATCTCCGGTGCATAGATGACGTCTATGCAAAGCCCTGGCTCGGTGAGGATCTGCTGGTCTTCTGTTAACGACCAACATCCAGGAATTGGGTTGTGCCTTGGCTCTTCCTCCGTTCATCTCGTCCTGTACGCCAGAACAGGCCGACCAGCCTCGCCCTTGAAAACGTTAGAATCGTGGTCGCATACAACGCCCTTCGCTGTTATCATGCCTTGATGACTTGTCCCGGATATACCCCTCCGAGTCATGCGCTGCTGTCGGTCATCCGCAACTTCGGGTCTGCCCCAGATCGCCAGCCCCAAAAAGGGCCCCTTCGTTCAACATGACGTCCTCCTAAAACCCAGCAAAACATCGGACAGGATAATGGAATGGCAGGAGGCAGAACGCAATACCGATATTGTTGGCGAACCAGAACACGTTGCCGTGTTTCATGCCTTTGTTTCATGCTTTCCGTGTCGGCCTCCATCAGCCATCTCCAGATTTTGTTCACCTCGCATTCACTAATGAACATCTGGTCTTTTGACTCGCTCATCACCCCTGTGGAACAGCCACCGGCCTTACAACAGGGGTGTCGCCCCATTAGTCAGTCTCGACGCCTGCTTCGCCCTATACTCTGCACATCTGAGCGCGATCAACGCGGTGAGCCCAATGTACCCTGCATTGAACAATGGGTCGGCGTGGCAAGATAAAATCAGGCAGAGTACAACCTTATTGGCTTGCTGTCGTTGATCGGTAGATGCGCCAACTGCCTCTGTCAATATTGGGTCTGTGAGACTGGCAAAATTTTGACACATGTGCTGCATGTAGCTGTGCCACGCTGGCTGTTGCTATACTTCTTTTTACATGTTTCATAGTGATGATCCGTCTGGCGGTTCGATACCCATGTTATCCAACCAGGTCCATCGCTGCTTCTCGGGGTAGATATACTTTCGCTCATTTGCTGAGATCGAGCACTACGCGACTTGATGGACAGGACCAAGCCAAGCAAGTTCACTGGAGCCACTGCACAGGCCGTGAACAGGTCGCTTCACCCGGGTCAGAAGCCCAGACGTGACTCTGACATCGAGACGATATGACGTCTGGTGCAGATGATCGCCTGACCGACATTGGGATGCTCATGCTGCCCATGCGTAGATTGATGCATCGTGCCAAGTTTTCGAAAGGTAAGGAGTCATCTCTGAGCAACGTGATCCTAGCTGCTATAAGCCCCCTGTACCCAGGCATCGGGAACACGCAGTCTTGTACCCAGTGGGATGACTTATTTGCTCTCCTAACTTTATGCTAGGGAACCTTGTTGCACGATGCTTGATGAATTTTCCTGACGGCGTCTAGTCATCCCACGATCCTCGTGACATACTCATTCTGGGCGACTTTTGATACACGGCATACGTCGAGTTTAGTCATGGACGGCTGTCGTCTTGTTAATGTTCCCAATATTTATTCGTTTGCGTCTTACGTGGACGAGGGAATCAAAGAGAGGGGAGAGGAAAGTTAAATATCAGCCGGCGACTTCGAGCGGTTGAGCTCCAACGCTATACACTCGAAACGCTAGAACTGGCGTGCTTCCTATTTTTCTTTTCTTTTCTTTGACTGACAACATGTCATCTTTATACTTTGCATTGAATGACACTGAGTATATTCTCCAGATGATTTTCAAAGACTAAGAATTCAGAGTCTGCGGTAGGTTACCCGAGCTTTGTCCATGGTCGATGCATTTTCCTGTAGTGGTTGATACTTTTGCGCCTGGGTAGAAGAGTGACTTGTTGCATTGTACTTCCTCCCTGTGGCTGAAAAGCCGAGCAACGAGGATCTCTTTTGATGCGACTTCATCTTTCATGCAGTTTGTAAGAGAAAAGAATACTCGTATCGCAAATCGTCGTGGTAAACATTACTTCAAGGTCAGCTTCCCTAAAGAGACAAGGCAAGGACTGGCTGATACCAACTTTTGAATCTGGGTTCTTCAGTAGAAGAAGGAAAAGTGAAAGAGAAACCAAGACCTCCGACGTGTTAATATTACAACATCAACACCATAGAAGCGTCCTCTCTGTATTCTCGGATAACAATACGTAATAACTGACTTTCGACGAGAAGGTACTCGAGGTGGGCACCTCCATCATCACATCAAGTCGTTGGTCCTGCAGAACATGCAATTCACAGTACCCACGATAGACATCTTTTCGTATATCCACCACTCAATTTGGGTTCCAAGGTTGTACCAAGCCCTCTAACAAGACCGGGAGCATCCCCGAGAGTCTTACGAGCACAACCTCTCGGCCACCTACTTCAGAAGCAGCAATTTAGGTTGGGTGCCCCGTTTGGCCCCGACGGCAAAAATTAGACCCCCACCCCCCTCTTCTATATGCTCCTGTTCCACAGCATCTACCCGACCACGGACACGGCATAACTGGAGTCCTCGTGTCTTGCAAGCCAAGTAAAGGCATTGTCATCAGCATGGCATCACGCTGGGCCGACAAGACATAGGAAGCTGGTCAGTGACGAATCTGGCATTCAGCACGAGCTACTATAGTACAGGCAGACATGTAACGACGACAGGCAGACGGCGGGCGCTTAACACCAAAACAAATAAAACAGCAACACAAAACAAAACGACTAAAACATAGGCTG